AATCATTTAAATTAATTGAAATTTGAATAATTATTCTTGGCCAATTATCACAACATGTATTAACTACCAAGTAGTCGAAGTTTTACCATAATCATTATTGCACATTTGAGGAAAATATAAATGAATTGGCATGTTTAAAAAAAAATTGTCTAATCTTATATATTCGTACATTTTCTTTTATATTTACTTACCAAAGAAAACAATACACTACTATTTGTATACTTGTTGAGTTATTGGCAAATAAAAATGTGGATCTATCGTTACTTTTTCAAAGAAATATTTGAACCAACTTTTTTCATTCAGTAAAAATTAGTGGCCAAATTTCGTTAGTTATTACCTTTAAAAATTTGAGTTGAAACAAATTTCTATTCAAATTATAGTAGTTAGTGAAAGTTGTGTGATTCGTGTGCTAGAGATTTCGTTTGACATTGAAACGGCTTATACTGTTTGGTTTTTTTCTATATTCTTTCTATAATTCCTATAATATTCAAGTTGAAATTAGTGTTTGATGTAGTTTTTAGAGAACAGGATTTTTATTTAATAAATCAGCAAAAATATCAAATAAAAATTTTGGCGCATTTCTCTCTGTTTCAAAATATGTCGCTAATTTTCCCTTTTGGTTTCGGAAACAATGACATATTATTTGCATTCCTCCGATTAGTAGTGGATTCAGGATTTAATTTTGGGGTTTGGTTTTTTTTTATTCTTTTATTTTTGTTTTTAATCTGCAAGGGTATTTACGAAAAAGAAAGGAGCTATATAAAATAATTATTAATGTTTAGGTGGTCCTTGAAGGATTGTAAAAAAAAAAAACTGTTTACAGGAACCATAATCTTTTAATGATAAATGGTTTATGTATTTTTTATCTTGACACGAACTTGCAATTAGTAGCTTAAATACATGACTTATAATTTAAAAAGTGTAAATGTTTTAATTCATTAAGTATTTAGCTCCGCAGGAACAAATAGGTGCCATTAGAAAAAGTTTATTTTTCCGTTTTGGGATGTCTTCTGCCCCAAAGACCTTCCCCCCACCCCCGTAGATCCACCAGTGCCTCCGACACATATGTACCCATAATGTTCGCTTAGTTACTTATATCAATAAAGTTTATTTTTTTAATCATAACCGATAGCATATGTATCTATTCTAAAGCACACTCATTTATTTATTTAAATGAAAAGTATTGAATCATAATTGGTTATTGGTTGACTGTCGTGGATAATGAAGAGAAGAATAGTTGGGGTGCTCAGTCAAAAAAGGAAGGCAAAAAATAAATTATAATATTTATTTTTTACATATGTTGATGTTTCGACCTGAAGTTCAGGCCATCATCAGGGCTAAGAAAATAACCAGATAACAAGGTATGAGAAACTTAAGTAATGATGGTAAAAAAGATAATAAAAAAGGAGAAAATAAAATAGATTAGATCTAGATAAAATACAAATAAAATAAAATTTACAAATAAAAGTTACAAATAAAATTATCCATAATGACCTTAATGTTCCTTATGTATCAGATTTGGCCCAATCCAGATATCTGTCCTTCCATAATAAACTTCATAACCATCCCAACCCTCTTGTCTCTAACCTTGCTTCCTATTCGATTCCTGATAACCCTCCGAGGCGTCTGAAAAGAAGATGGCCATGTGATCTTCTAATATAGACATATTATTAGAGTGCTACCAATGGGTAGTTTCTCAACATGTGTTCCATGTCTTTATACCAATGTGCGAATTTACCAGATGTATTTTTTGTATACAGTTGTAAATATCATTTAAAATAAATAAATAAATTAAAATATTTTTTTTTTATGTAGAGTTGAGAGAGCTACTAAATTAATTTGATGTTGAAGAATTAGATCTTTAAATATCTATTTCATTTTGAATCGAATCGATTATCCTAGGTACCGACTAGGTGATTAAATAGTTTCATTAAAACATATAAAAAGATCGATTTCTCGAAAGGTTTGTCAATTTTTGAATTTTCTCCTATTTTTAATAAATGATAATTTATTCACAGTTGTTCACGAGAATAGGCACAAATAGGTATATTTTAAACGGCCATATTTCTTTATTTTTTTGCTTGGTACACAAGTAGGTCCACTACTGTATTTATTTCCAACTGAATTAAGCGTTTATTGTACAAATTACTAACCGATCTTAAGTAACTGTTGTTACAAGGAGATATCAGATAATCATAGGTTCAATCAAGGTCTAACGTACACTTGAAGACTCCAATTGATGAAGGTAACAATCATTTCGTTCAATTTCATAGTATAGTCCGATATAATACTGATCAATGGAGGTAAGATTACAATCTAGTGCATTGTTTCATTATTTATTGGAAAAGCATTTCTTATTAATACAATATTAATATTTTTGAAACAAAACATTAAAATTCTGCTTTCAAAAACAAACGTAAAATAATTTAATAATAATAATAGTTTATTATTTCCAAATAGTCATATGTAATTTTTTTTAAAAGTTGGTATTATTGTTGAATACGACCGGAGAGATAGAGGCTAGTATAGCCACGAACTCAAATTATCACACGCGGTGGATTAAGTCCGCGGTACAGATCCCATATTATGAAAACAATAAAATCCTCTAAAACTTCGTGAATAGCTTCATCTTATCATAACTTACAACTTTTTCTGTCACTCACCTATATATGTAATATATGGTAAGAGAAAGTATTGCGATCATGAAAATTATCGAATCTGAGATTTCAACGGAAATACTCGTTGTTTGGTAACCTGAGTCCAAATAACCAAGTCCCACAAAATGGTGAGTTTGTCTATGTGTATGTATTTGAACAGTCTAGCTAAAAAAACGAAAAGTTGTACGAAACTGATATTACGTCTTCCTCTAAAGTGCCTTCAATATGGTTTGTTTTAAATAATTGACTATTTCTCATTATTAAGAGTTACGAAAAGATACTAAATATAACTTTTGAAAGAACCGTATAATAAAGGAAAAAAAAAATGCTTATCCAGGTCGAAAATGAATCTCCGTAAATACTAGTCTGAAGGTATACGTATAATATGTCGTTGGAAAGCAGAGAATTTTAGAAAAAAAAATCTAATATAGAAAGTTGTAGAAGGTAATGGAGAGTAGCGAAAAAATAAAAAACAATATTTTTTGAAAACTAATATTATTTAAGGTAAATCACATGTTTTCTCGGAAATTAAATGAAATTTACTAACTAAATGTAAACTTTTAAAATATTTTCGTTTGAAAAAGTATTTAAAATCTACCTAATCAAGGCAATGAAATTGTTCAAAAAACTATTTCGTTGTACTTGTGTAAAAGAATAAGTGAAACATAAAATCATTTCATCGATGTATAAAGCATATTTTTATAACCTTAAATACATTTACTGTAGTTTAACAATTCTAGATCTGATATTATATTTAAATAATTAAGTATCAACGTCCTTTTATCCCGGAAAACCGGCATCTAACTTTTTTGAAAATTAAATTAGTGAATAATTTGTTGAATTTTCTCTTTTGAAATCCCGGCATTATCATGTATTCCTCCAAAGTACCTTTAATTTGGTGTATTATAAATAATAACTATTTCTCATTATTAAGAGTTAAGAAAAAATTCTAAATATAACCCTTGAAAGAATTTGATAATTGAATAAAGAAGAAAAAAAGAAAAATACCTATCCAGGTTGAAAATGAATATTCGGAAATAATAGTCAGAAGGTGTAATAGGTGTGACATATCGTTGCAAAGCGGAGAATTAAAAAAAAAAAAACAGAAACAATATCTAATATAGAAAGTTGATGACCCTGGGGTTTTACGCCTTAAAGCCTAAATAAACAATATAGAAAGTTGTATAAAGTAACGGAGGGTGGCGAAAAAAATTAAAAAAATAATTTCAGAAAACTAACATTATTTAACGTAAATTACGTGTGTTTAGGCAATTTTCCATTATTATCAAGGCAAGGCAAATAACTTTCATGAGTTCTTAATAGGCAACATTCAGATTTTATCGGGCAACATTTTACTTTAATGCAGTGGACTGTATTTTAATGGATTGGTAGGTTATACTGATTGTGCAAAAATAACTTACCATCTTTATGCCAGCTTACATCTCTTTATTACCTTGAGGGCTCCCTCGGAGCATCTGGAGCATTTGCCGTGACTGATTATCTGTGCTGGTATGGGCTCCAGAGCTGAGAGCTCGTACAGAGTAAGCGTTAACTTTGAGATCTTCTGATCTGCCCCTACGTCTCGCCATAAAGGGGAAACTTGGAAGTATTTTCGTTCAAATATATCTCCCACCGTAAAATATCTCATTTCACCAACCAAAAAAAGAAAAAAACAAACTCAGAGATTGGTTATTGGCAAGGCACAAACGATATGAAAATTTATTAGTTTACAATAAAGAGAGAAATTATTCAAAATAGAGTTTTGGAAAACTAGAAATAAAGTTAGCCAGATCAAAAGGAGGCTTATAAAATACAATTAATCTAAAATAAAATGACTCTTCACTAAATTTAAGCGAAAAAAAATATATTCATATCAATAAAAAGTTTCTCCAGAAGCGAGAGGCACTAACTTGTGGACCAAAGTGGCTGTTGCGGTCCTCAATTTCATCACCCTAACTACACTGTGAAGTGTCTCCATTATCCTGGCAAGCCGCCACTCCAGCAGTGGAACATATTTTCCATGTAGAATTACAATGGTTCCCTCCTTTAAATTTTCCCTGCCAGTACACTATTTGTTGCGAGGCACCAGATTATGGAAGTATTCAATATACCATCTCTTCCAAAAATTACGAAGACTCTTGGAAATCATCCTCCAACGGCTTGTAAAAAAAAACACAGATGCGTCTTCTTGTTCAGGTCTGGCTAGTAGGCCTTGGCCTATATGAAAGTGTCCTGGGGTGAGGTAATCCAGGTTATCCGATGGCTGATTGCTAATATTACAGATAGGACGGGAATTGAGAACGGCTTCAACTCGTACCAGAAGAGAATAAAATTCCTCATATGTCAACGCTTGATCCTGGAGAACGGCAAGACGGTGTCTCTTAGCAGATTTAACAGCTGCCTCCTAAATACCACCGAAATGAAGAGATGCTGGAGGAGTAAAGGTATACGGCCCGTAACAAATTGGTAAAGCTCCTTCAACTTCTTGGATGCATCTGAAAAGGCGATTAGTTGCATGAATGATGCATTCTGGCTGACAATACGAAGGCAAACATTTTTCAAGCTCGGAAATTCCTCAAGGAAAATCATTTACGATGAAGACATACTAGAGGGCAATTCACCGTCCCAATCAACCTTAAGCAGCTACAAACGTTGTAATAGGCATTTAACGGAAAAAACCGTACTGATATATACATTTATATCGAAAATTTTGGCAATGAAGGATAGAATACCTCGCTTTGTAAAAATAGGCTCACTTTCCTGTATTGGATACCTGAAATGATCGAGTTTAGGATCCCAAAACAAACCCAAAATCTTGACAGTCAAGGAATCTGGACTGTGGAGGAGTGTCTCCATCCAGGCACAAAGAAATTTCTTGACTAACCTATGGTACACAGACAGTACTTTTTCAGGAGAAGAATTTCAAACCACCTGCTCCAAATAAGGCAATAAACTCATTATACAGATCCAGAGATTCATCACTATTGCGAGCACCAGTGATTATGTTACAGTGATTGGAAACTGGACTGGAAGGGATTGAGGAGGTTTTTTGCTCCAGGAAGGTATTAAGCTGTGAATGGACTAGTCTTTCAAGTGGCATTGGAAGATTGGAGAGATTGGAGATGGGTCTGAAAACGGAACTTCTGGAATCGGAACTTTGATCAACGGGAGGACAATAACTTTTTTCTAGCTGGCGGGAAACTGGAATTTTTTTAGGAAAAATTGTAAATATGCAAGAGCACAGGTAAGATGACAGGAAGACATAGTTTGATTAAATCCTCAGGAATTTAATCAAACTATTTAACTATTAGGTCTGGGCCATAGTCGTCTGTTCTAGATTTTAGGACAGAAGAAAGTATGTCTTCTGGTAAAATAGAAATTATCAGGGTGAAAGGAAGTTTTTGGAATACAGTATGAAAACGATAATGGTAATGAGTCAGGATCAGCTAACAGATGGGCTTTATAACCCTAAAATGTAAACTATGATTGGATGTGTTGAATAATAAAGAAGAAAATAAGGAAGTTTTGAATGCCTCAACTTATCATAAATTTATAATAATCAAAGGCAAAATTTAATTATACAACTATTTAAAACTCATTATTTCATTAAAGTTTGGCTTTAGGAAATATTCAAATAACCCTGCTAAATCTTTTTAATAACCAAGAGGTAATGTATAGTAGCCATCTGACTGACCTGTAAGATCATAAAAGATGCAATCCGATAAAGCCCATCTCTAGAACTTTGCTAATCCTGACTCATTACCATTATCGTTTTCATACTGTATTCCAAAAACTTCCTTTCACCCTGATAATTTCTATTTTACCAGAAGACCTACTTTTCTCTGTCCTAAAATCAAGAACAGACGATTTTGACCTAGACCTAATTCCTGAGAAGTTAATCAAACTATGTCTTCCTGTTATCTTACCGGAGCTACTGCATATTTACAATTTTTCCTGATAAAATTCCAGTTCCCCTCTAGCTTGTAAAAAGTTATTGTCCTCCCATTGATCAAAGTTCCGGTTCCTGACCCAAAGTTTCCGTTTTCAGACTCATCTCCAATCTCTCCAATCTTTCAATGCCACTTGAAAGACTAGTCCATTCACAGCTTAATACCTGCCTGGAGCAAAAAAACCTCCACAATCCCTTACAGTCTAGTTTCCAATCCCAGTTCACCACCCCAATCTGCTTTGCTGAAAATTACCCAGGATCTTCATTGCTTAATAGACAAAAAGAAAATCTCTATCTTTGTTCTCTTTGATTTTTCAAAAGCTTTAGATTCAGCTAATCATGTAATCTAATCATCTCAAAATCTATCTTTCCTTCCCTCCTATGGAGATGCTTGAGATGATCTGAAAGTTACAAAAAGATATTGACAGTATGTAATACTTGGGAAATAACAAATGGAATGTTTAGAAGACCCAAGCCATTGTCATTGACTCTCAGGATCTGTTTAATTTTATTCCTTATTAACCCCTACTCTATATCAATGGAATACCTATACTTTTCCACACTTCCATAAGAAACCTTGGGGCGATGTTTGATCAACATCTGTCCTGAAATAATCACGTTTCCCAAATTATCTGAAAATTCATTGCTACCATCAAACATTTCCTGAAATTCCGTGACTCTATGCCCCTTAAAATCCGTCAGTTCCTAGTTTCCATTATCATATTCTCTCACTTCGATTGTGGGCTTGTTATCAAATTAAAAAGACTAATGAATTGTTCCATAGTCCTCAGGCGCTCCCACGTCTCCAGTTGCTAAGACAAGTTGAAGTGGCTCTATCCAGTTTTCCGACAGAAATATATAATACAAAAAAACTTTCTTCCCTTCTCAATTTCTTTATGCCTTGTTACTTTGTTCATTCGATCAACATGGGATCCCAACCCTCAAACCTGTTTATTCTTTCTCATAGATCTGTTTCCTTTAAAAAATCCATCGTCATACATGCTACCTAGTTTCGGAATTCCCTACCAACTGCCATATGGAAATCCTCATCCTTGACCTCATTTAAACAGCATTTATTTTATCATTTCCTCACCATTCAATCTTCAAAACTTATGTAAAACTAATGTTATTTTGTATTTTAGAGCTGTCAGCCACATTTTACTGATATCTAAGTATTATCCATATTGTATATTTGTACAAATACCTGAACTCACTCGTTTATATTTGTGTAGTGCTATTTCCCTATTCTAATATTAGGGTTAAATAACTTTGTAAATTAATTTATTTTTAATTGTATTTTAATGCCAGACAATTGTCATTTTCTTGTTCATTGTAGTCATTCTGAAGGAACTAAATGTCCCAGCATAAAATTGACTTTTCTTCTGCTTCTCAGAACTTTATTATTCTAAAATTTATTAGAAGTACATTTACTAGTTTTCTAATTGTATTCTAGCTAATGAATACATGTATATATTTTTTCACTATAAATAAGATGTATTTACCTCTTTCATGCTGAGGAAAAGAGATATTTAAAATAATCTCTAGGCATTAATTCAAATCAATTACATTGATTCTTAATTAAAAATTAAATTGCAACAAAATCTTAGGCCTTGTATTATTATAGATACATTTAACACTATTTGAATATGGCTTAGCAACTAAAGCATGAATGGACAGAGCATTTTGTTTGTTTTCCATTTAGTTCTAAAAATGGTTAACATTTTGATGAAGTGAACTGTTCAAAATTTAGTATACTATAATTTAGCTTATACATGTTCAATATAGTTAATTTTTTTTAATTGACATCCATTCCCTACATTATCAGATTTCTCTTCTTGGCGGTGAATTTCATTAAAACTTTTTCTGGAGTGATAAATAACAATTTGCAGTCCAATGTAAAGCGAGAATAAAAATCATTAAAACATATAAAATAAAATAATTTTTAATTTTTAAAATATATTTTTACATTTACAGCAAGGGTGTAACCAAAATTCGAAAAGAATGTGCATTATTGCGAAAAGATCAACAATGCAACTTATCATAATAGAACCACTTTGAAGACAATTAGTTCAACAATGGACAGGAGAGTATCTAGAGTTTGGAGGGGAAAATCCTAGAATTGTATACGTGATACACCAAAATGTACCGCTCGAGTTAGATTGACCCAAGTGTTACCATTTGAGGGTTAATTTAATGAATAAGGCCATCTCCTACCTCAACATACGCGTAGACTCCTAGTTTCCTCTCTCATTTTCCCCCACTTTGACTATAGCTGTGTGGTGTATGATGGCCTCTCTGTGGAGCTACGTGATAGACTGAAAAGACTAATGAACAGCTGTGTAAGATTTGTGATCGGGGCCCCAAGATACTCCCATGTTTCTCACCACTATGCTGAGTTAAAGTGGCTTTTCCCCTCCTTCCGAAGACAATATTTCCTAGGTACGTTCCTCTACCAAATCATCAACAGTCATCGTCCTTCTTACGCCTACAATCTTCTCCAGTTCAAATCCTCAGTCCATTCCCTGTCCACAAGATCTCGACCTTCTAATCTTTACATGCCTTCTCACAGATCTGCCTCATTCCAAAATTCCTTTGTTGTTCGCTCTGTCAATTTCTGGAATTCCCTCCCTATCAAAATTCGACATTCCCCATCCATATCCAAATTCAAAATCCTCCTATTCCAATTCCTATCCCAAGAACAGTCAGATAGTTGCTAACCATTCGATTTTAATAGAGAATTTGATACATAAAAATTCATTGATTGATTCATTGATACATTTTTATTTTTTAATTCCTTATTATTTTCTTAAAAGTGTATAATAGTGCAAATAGCTTTAAGTGCCTTGTTATAGTATTAATTGTTTTGTATATAGTTTCGTTTTTTTTTTATATAGAATGTTTACCTTATATTTTTTTTACTTTATCTCTTTTTTTCGATTGATTTTATTTTGGCCAGATGTGATCTTTTAATTTTGTTCTATTTTGTTATTCTCAAGGGACTGTGTCCCAGAATAAAATTATTTTTCTATCTATCTATCTATCTAAGATAAGACCTTTCTTTATTGGATTTTGAGTTGTGCCTCGAAAGAATACCTCCACTAACTAAGATGGAACAAGAAACACTTACAGAATTCTGGCAGCATTATCTACTATTACTTACGCTGCTAACATTAGAAAAAGGCCTGTATGCTACAATGTTAAAACTAATTCTCTAGAATCCCTAGTGGATACAGGATTTAATGTTGGGAGACTTCCCCCAAAAAGCATTTTTTATATATACAGGGTCTCCTGTAAGTAGAAGGAAATTTTTATAGCAGTGATAGCAGATCTCAAGAGCCATAAAAAATTTCATATAAATAATGGGCCAATTTTCAGCTGAAGATAAGAAAATCCAAGTTTGTGATTTTTTAAGTAAGTCACATTTTTTGTTAAATGGGAAGAGATAACTAAAAAACAAGATAGAATTTGCTTTTAAAAAATTGAGTTTGTTATTATTAAAACCATTTAAAGAGGACTTTATTAGTAACTGAACTATGCTAAGTTCAGGTTTATAAAAAATCATAAATTATTCACAATTTTTTTTTATCATCATCCAGCTATGTTATAGATGTCCCACTTTTAGAAAAACTTCCTCATTTGATACGCTTTAAGTTGATATTAATTAAGTTGAGGTTTATTAGGCAAAAACTTGAGATTAAATTCAAGTTGTGTAAGAAAATACCGTGCACCCCCCCCCCCACATCCCTATAAATTGCATATCGTTGTGTTCCTTGTGACAATTTATTAAAAAAAAGCCAATGTTCCCACAAAAAAAAGTGAACGAACTGCCCCAAAATGGCGTCCAAACATGGCGGATTGACGACTTTGACTTTAGTTAGTTTTTTTGTTACTCAGAATCAGCATTTGGCTTAATTTCATCATAGTTGGTCTTTTATTAAAGCTAGATAGTTAGAGAATAATAAAATATGAAAAAATATTAAAAACTAATTGGCTTAGGCATTAAAAAAAATCGGTAAAGTCGATTTTTTTTTTTAAAAAATTTTCAAGTTGAAAATCAGGCGTCGTTTGTAATTAAACGGTCAACAATAATGCAAAACGTGCTGAAATAAAACATCTGGAGAATACATTTCTCTTTCTAAAACACTGATTACTTTTTAAAATATTTGAAGTAGTTCCGTAGAAAATGTACTTAAGCGGCAGAAAAGCGCTACTGGCGTAGGTGCCTTCAGGCCTCTACCACACCACTCAGTACTCATAAATGGCTTAGTTATAGTGCTATAATAACGTTTTTGTTATATTATATTGATTGTATTAACGAATAAATATTAATACAATAATTTAATTGTAAAAAAAAATAATTTTTTTTTTAATTTTTTTTTTTTTATATATTATCATTTATTTTTTTAAATTTAGCTTCCTTTATTCTATACGGAGGTCCCTTAAGAAGGCCTCTATTATAAAAATTATATAATTATAATAATAAAACTTGATCAGTTTGGATGATATTAAGCAGGTTTATTATGGTGAAGACCACTTTATCAGCAAAAAAAGATTTGTTCTAAGCAATTGGCAAGCAGGTCTGGAGGAAGTAAACGAGGTTTATAATGGTGAAAACCACTTTATTTTAGATTGCTATTGAAGTTTCACATTGGGACTATCTTCACTTTGAAACAGGTTATAGAGAGGTCTATCGATAAAGAAAAATAGCTCTCCTCCTGTTTAGTGCAATTGCAAAAGATTTTTGAAGGAATCTGAAAGGAAAACGAGCTTTTGTGAAAGACTAGTAGATATTAGATCAATCCAAAGTGTGAGGCACTAAGCAGATAGAGAATCATTTTTCTTTGTCTGTGGACTTCTATATAACCTACCTTAAAGTGATGACAGTCCCAATTTGCAACTTATGTTCCAATGTGCAACTTGAGTTTCTCAATCCATATCACTCAGACAATCGACAATATTTCTTATTTTAGCTTCTACGATTCTTGAGTAGACTTTCTTTGGTACTATAAACAGTAAGTAATCTCGAATAACATTTCCTAGTATTTCATTTCCTGTAAAGGGACAAAACTACAGTCCTTCCATATCATTTTCTAATACATTTGTAGCCTTTGTAGGCACAGCATTTCGGGTTACTTCGTCCAGACCAGCTGACTTGCCAGTTGCTTAGAACAAATCTTTCTTGCTGATGAAATGGTCTTCACCATAATAAACCTGCTTAATATCATCCAAACTGATCAAGCATTTTGACCCCCTTTTAGCAGCATCTTGAAATATTTTGTTCATTTGTCTACTATATATTCGTTTAGCCATATAACGGATATTGATCCTTGTTTTCTTTTTCCGAAATTTTGGCACTTCCTTTGTCGTTCGCTTAATGTATTTTTCCAATGTTTGGGTTCAATTTCGCGTTTTCTCTCATTTTGAGACCAAATACTAACAATCAGTTCCAGTTACCTAGAACAGCTTATAGCTTCGCCCTTTCCATATTTTTTTTGTGCAGAGGGAATAATGCATTTAATGTTATAAGTTCATATTTTTTATGATATGGTCCAACTTCCGAATAAAATTAAGGAAATAAAAATTTCGGAAAAAGAAAACAAGGATCAATATCCGTCATATGGCTAAACGAATATATAGTAGACAAATGAACAAAATATTTCAAGATGCTGCTAAAAGGGGGTCAAAATGCTTGATCAGTTTGGATGATATTAAGCAGGTTTATTATGCTGCTTATTATAATGCTGTGCCTACAAAGGCTACAAATGTATTAGAAAATGATATGGAAGGACTGTAGTTTTGTCCCTTTACAGGAAATGAAATACTAGGAAATGTTATTCGAGATTACTTACTGTTTATAGTACCAAAGAAAGTCTACTCAAGAATCGTAGAAGCTAAAATAAGAAATATTGTCGATTGTCTGAGTGATATGGATTGAGAAACTCAAGTTGCACATTGGAACAGAAGTTGCAAATTGGGACTGTCATCACTTTAAGGTAGGTTATATAGAAGTCCACAGACAAAGAAAAATGATTCTCTATCTGCTTAGTGCCTCACACTTTGGATTGATCTAATATCTACTAGTCTTTCACAAAAGCTCGTTTTCCTTTCAGATTCCTTCAAAAATCTTTTGCAATTGCACTAAACAGGAGGAGAGCTATTTTTCTTTATCGATAGACCTCTCTATAACCTGTTTCAAAGTGAAGATAGTCCCAATGTGAAACTTCAATAGCAATCTAAAATAAAGTGGTTTTCACCATTATAAACCTCGTTTACTTCCTCCAGACCTGCTTGCCAATTGCTTAGAACAAATCTTTTTTTGCTGATAAAGTGGTCTTCACCATAATAAACCTGCTTAATATCATCCAAACTGATCAAGTTTTATTATTATAATTATATAATTTTTATAATAGAGGCCTTCTTAAGGGACCTCCGTATAGAATAAAGGAAGCTAAATTTAAAAAAATAAATGATAATATATAAAAAAAAAAAAAATTAAAAAAAAATTATTTTTTTTTACAATTAAATTATTGTATTAATATTTATTCGTTAATACAATCAATATAATATAACAAAAACGTTATAGCACTATAACTAAGCCATTTATGAGTACTGAGTGGTGTGGTAGAGGCCTGAAGGCACCTACGCCAGTAGCGCTTTTCTGCCGCTTAAGTACATTTTCTACGGAACTACTTCAAATATTTTAAAAAGTAATCAGTGTTTTAGAAAGAGAAATGTATTCTCCAGATGTTTTATTTCAGCACGTTTTGCATTATTGTTGACCGTTTAATTACAAACGACGCCTGATTTTCAACTTGAAAATTTTTTTCAAAAAAAAATTGACTTTACCGATTTTTTTTAATGCCTAAGCCAATTAGTTTTTAATATTTTTTCATGTTTTATTATTCTCTAACTATCTAGCTTTAATAAAAGACCAACTATGATGAAATTAAGCCAAATGCTGATTCTGAGTAACAAAAAAACTAACTAAAGTCAAAGTCGTCAATCCGCCATGTTTGGACGCCATTTTGGGGCAGTTCGTTCACTTTTTTTTGTGGGAACATTGGCTTTTTTTTAATAAATTGTCACAAGGAACACAACAATATGCAATTTATAGGGTTGTGGGGGGGGGGGGGTGCACGGTAAGGGGGTCTGGCCCACAGACTATACAGTATGTTGCAATGCATTCGAATATGTTTGCCAAGATTGATAACTTGGAGGGCTACATCATAGTATGTAAGTAATATTTTGACATTTTGAAGTGGATCCTACTTTTATTTCATACTAACCTTAAATTTTCATGTAACTTGAATTAAATTCTCCATCACTTAAATGTATCATGCAGATTTTTTTGGGTGATAAGATTGGGGAAATCTTTGAAGAGTTTCATCTTATTTTTTCAAATCACTCTTTGTTAAAAAGAGTACATTTAGTAATCCTTTCAAGAGAGGAGATGGGATGGCCGAGCATACATGTGCCAAATGGGCTTTGTCCAGCAGCCAGATAAATCGAAGTTTAAATGGTAAAATAACTACGAGTTCACTTCCCAGTGCCTGGGTGGAGAGGACACTTTTTAACTCTGGCATTAATCTCCCACCATCTCCCCTGGCCCGGGAAAAACCCTGTATACCCTGAAAGGTGAGGGAGGGGTGGGAAAAAAATCCTTTCAAGGTTATTAAAGTGTAGTAGGATAATGGGTTTAAAGTTCTTTCATACATAAAAAAAAGGATGTCTCGGAACATATATGCCTAGAATATATGTTTTATTTAATTTTGGCATCACAATAAAAAATAAATTACTTTTTATTCTTTTGTGTGTTTATAAAATAATAATAGAAGAATGGTCTTAAGTTCAATAAAATCTTATCGATTTATAAAAAAAATGAGTAGGTTTTTTCATAGATGGAAACTAAATTATGAAATGATTTATTCTGTATTTTTAATAGGACAGATGAAGTATTGATATATTTTAAAAATACAATGACTTAAACATTGCAAAAATATATTTCATAATTTGCCTAGAGCAAACATGTAATTTATAAACCTATTTATTATGTATAAGATGAATTGTTACTAATTGAACAAATATTTACATTTCAGATAAGACTTATTCTTTCTATATGCATTAAATACACACATAACTCATTCACTCATATTTTACAATCTCAGGCAAACAGTCAATATACATTTAATCTATCTTTTACTGAATCATTGAAAAAGCTTAAATTTGTTTTTAGGTGACTTCAAGAAGCAGATAAAGAAAATTATGTACAGTCCAATAATAACAAAGAATTTGTTATAATTACTATCAGTACAAAGATATTAGAAGCATTCCTTCAGAGAAACGAGCATTGTATTGACTAAGCACCTAATGTCCTCTCATTACAAGTAGCTTTAAACTAATAAAATAGAAAATATATATACATAGTTATCAATTTGTAAGAGTTTTAATAAATAATTTTGCTTAAATTTACTGATACACATAGATCAATGGATTGGATTGGTTTCATAAAATCTAAGTTCAAATTGCTTTATCTTTGTTTTTAATAAATCATCAATAAAAAAGGTAATTGCATATTTGTAAATTAATAATATTATAGTCATTGTTTCTTTTCCAAATGATTTATGATAAACAGGAATGGTACAGAAATGTTCTAAATAAGTAATAAAAATATTATTAAGTAATAATTTATATTTTAACTATAAGGAATGACACTATTCTATTATAGTTTGGTTTTATTGGTTTAATGATATACATTTTATTTTGAAATTAAGATAAAAACTAATGATTTGGAAGAAACTATAAAATAGTTTTTTGGGACCTTCTGAATATAATACTGGAAGTGTGGCAAAAAAATTTACATATTTATGTTCTTTCATAAATAAAGAAGATATCTGATATTTTTTGTCTGCTAAGGTAATATCTTAAAATCAAATGTGTAGTTTTTTTTTTCCTATTGGATATGTCTTTAAAATATATTGTTTTGTTAATGAATCTTCATTAATTCAATATACTTTATCCATTAAATAAAAAGATTTTAATTATTTTTCAAATTAACTTTCACTCATTAAAGGTGTGTGATATTATTGCAGTTCACTAACTAGAATAAACTTTACCTAATATAATTGTTACATTTTGTTATTTTTACTCAAATAACTAGAAAATTATGTTCACATTTTGTTCTCCCTATTTATTAATAATGTAATATAGTTGATAAAACAAAGTTATTTATAAAAAAAAAATTGAGGGCATTTTAATAGCAATGATTATGTTCAGAAGACCACAACAAATATCTAACAATTAATCAAACACAATATATATATATATTGGCAGACTGATGTTCAAATTTTTTTTTTTCTGCTTCATGAAAGTTTACAAAACAAAACCCATAAAGAAAGAGGCCCCACCACCCCAACGTAAAATTGTGACTATAATAATAACATAAAATTTGGACACAGAAATAAAGCCAGGGTCTAAATATTAGCATTGATAAAGATAAAAAAAAACATAATACATATATTTTTTGTTTTTATTTGTTTTTTAAAAATCTTATAGTTAAAATATCACAAAACCTACGGCTCTCAACAACTTCTCAACACTTAACAAATTGATATTTAACCAATTATTTCTAAAAAAAAAAAAGAAAAGATTTACATACACAATTTTTTTATCTTTGATTTTTTAAAATTGTATTTACTTATTTTTTTTGCAATACAAATACAGCAAAATGGACAAAATTGATCACAGGTGCTCTACATTTTTTTCCTATATCAATTGGTTGGTATCTTATTTATAACCTACATATATAAGGCAATAGCTAGTAGAAGGCCTCAATGATTCATCATTAAAATTAAAGAATTAAATGAAATATATTAATACAAATGACTTAAAAAATATTTTGACCAATTTGAGAAATAATCACTAAAAAAACGTATATATTAATAAATAAAAAACAATTCAAAACAAAATAAAAAATAGGAAACAAAATACAATAGGAAAAACTGCAAACAAAAAACAACAAAAAATCAATATATGTACAGAGTACAATTGAATTTAATCAACTCATTTCATGAATAATAATGGGGTAATATAATATGTACAGATTACATTTTTGAAGTTTGTACACAGTATTTTTAAAAAAAAAAAAAGAAGATACAAATAAGAAATTTACAATCAATATGAAATAAAACAAAAAAGAGTGATATAAGTGAACAATATGGTTCATTATGAATGTCAATATTGTACAAATCCAAAAATATGTAACAGAAACATTAGAGCTTTAAAATTATAAATAAAAAAAAATCATATAGAAGAATAATATACTCCTTCCTTTTCTATTCTATCGCTTTGAGAAAAGGCAAGCTACTATACGTTGATATGGTTGCAGCTAAATAGTTGAAAGACCACTGATTCATATATTTAAAACAAATATGAATTTCCAGTTTAGCATATTTTTTCTATATTATAAAAATAGGCAGTTTTAATTTTTTTAAAATATACATTCAAGTTCATTGTAGGAGGATGGATTATATTCAGAAAGATAATTAATAGAAAAAGTACAAAAATAAATCTCCATCATGATATAAAAACTGTTTTCAAATATGGAGATAACAAAAGCTATTGAGATTATGAATTCTATTTAGCTGCTATCCATTTATGAACATAATTGTTGATTTGCATGTTTATATACAATAGATTCATAAAAATAATAAAATAATATGCATACATTGAAAGTTAAAAACTCACTATTTTTATGTTATAAAAATTCATTTTTTTATTTTACATATATTTTTTTTAGCTAAGCAACAGACTTACATTTATTTATTTTAAATTTATTTACTTCATGAAAATAAAATAGAAATACTGAATCATTTATTGGTTTGAATAATTAAAATTTCTACTTAAAAATATATATGACTCTATAAAGGCTTCTCTAATTTCTTTTTTTTTTTTTTTCAGTATAACTTCATAGATAATAGTAACATACAGATAAGAATAGATTTGTGATGCACTAAGCCAAAAGGAATGGAGTAGCTGGAAGGCCAAAATAATAAAAGTGGAAATGATAAACTTACTACCATAATACTTCTTAGCTAACACTACTTATGGCACTACAGTTTCTGTGCTAACATCGTGTTGATTAATTTATACACAAAATCTTAAAAATAATTTGATTTTATAAACAGTCCAGAATGGTTAATTAATTACATACATATTCTAATATACACAACATTACAATTTCATTTTATTTATTGAAACACTTTTATTTTTACTCTTATTATTTGAGGATTAAAACATAAATCATTTAATTATTTTTTTAAGGCACTGAAATTCTTGATAACATTTAATGAACAAAAGACGATATGTGTTATATTGATAATAAGACTTCTCCAGAACCACCATATTCGAACAAGAAGCATAAAGGGAAAAGAACTAAGCAAAAGTTAAGTGATTCATAATAAGATCATAAATTGGGATAGTTTGGATATAACAAATTTTAAGAAAAAATTGTCCACATAAAAGGAAGATCAAAACATGAATGATTCAGAGAAATATTAGTGTTTCTTTTCCTCTCTACCACCTTATTTTACCTATAATGGTAACATATCACTACTCATAACATCAATGCCTTTTTTTGTCCAATTAAGAATAAAAATGTAACTAATGAAATAAATAATGCTTTTGCTCAATAAAAACTTAAATGAAACAACAGATGCTTTAACTGCATGTATCAACATTGATTTTTGTGTTCACATAAAGTATCCTTATCAAACTGAAAAGAAATTTTATCTCAAAACAGTTTCAGGTTTTAAAAATGAGAATTAATATGTTTAGTTTAGAAACGATACCTAAAACGAACAAAACAGAAATTAAATTAAAATGGAATAAAATTTAAGTAACAGTATGAATTACAAACACTTTTAAACTAACCATATTACAATGATATGATACTAAAATTAAAAGATATAGGAACAACATAACTAATGATATCAACTGTGAATTAATGGATCACACATCATGGTAATTACAATTACATATTAAAATAGCTCAATGAAACAAGCCATATTGACAGCAAATAAACCATGATGGCTCCTCATTAAATAGTCGACAAATGTCAAGATTAACAAAAAATAAAAAACTATTGAGCATTTCGACTAAAATAATTTAGGAAATTAATTCGAGTAACTTAAAAAAGGAACCCGTTCAAATATCTTTCATATCCACACTCCTTTACAGTAATCTAAATTTTCAAATTAAATTTAAATAAAATAAAACAATGGCTTTAATATTACTATCGATTTCAGCCAATGTCAGACAGCACATCCTTTCTTGGTTCCATAAAGGATTTTAAGTTCTGGGTATATTATTTTTCTGATTAATGAGTTTGTCTTTCCTGCTTGGATGGCTCTTGCTGGATCTTTTTTGAGAGTTTTTATCCCAGGTTTGTGGACAAGGAAAGCATTGTCAAGGATCTGAAATTCGTAGTCCAGAACACACAATGCATAACCCTAAAACAATAACAGATTAATAAGTTTTGGTTAAAAAACGAATATATACAGAAATGTTGTTGATGAATTAGTCAGTTAATTACAATTAAACCAATTAACAAATTTAGAGCCTACTGACATTCTGAAATATTTCTGAGTCAGCGCAAAATTTGGTGTAAAATGTAAAAACAATTTGTGATGGTTAGAAAGAGAGTAAGGTTGGTAATATTTTGAGATGAGCATTTTATGTATTAAAATCTAAGATAAATAAAGTTATAAAATGTGTGTGAATGTTGTTTCAAAATTTACTATTCGAGAGCTAATTTTAACTATAATTTATTATATCAACAATTATCACCTATAAAAATCATATAAGTGACTACAGCCATTGCTATTTTCAGAACATTTAGTGTAAAATGTAAAAAAAAAAAATTGAGATGGCTAGATAGAGAGTTAGATTGGTAATGTTTTGAGATAAGCATTTTGTATATTATAATCTAAGATAAATAAAGGTATAAAATGTGTGTGTAGTGAATGTTGTCTCAAAATTAACTATTTGAAAGCTAATTTGTCATAATTTCTTATAGCAACAATTATCACTTTCAGAAAACATTTCCAACACTGTTATCACCACCAATGCCGATGACACGTGTATCCTATCAGTTAATAACGATCTATCTATTGCATCCCAAACTCTTCAATCACACATCACAAGTCTTCAAAAATGGTGTCAAAACTGGAGGATTAAAATAAATTCCAATAAATCCCATCAAATTACTTTCACTCTTCGTCGTAAACCTATGACTTCTTGTCCTACAGTATCCTTCAACAATAGCCCTCTTATCCCTGTCGAAAAAAATACAATACCTAGGACTCCACCTGGACAAACGACTCACTTGGAACCCCCATACCAGACTGAAATGACTAGAAACTGCCTGACGTTTTCGACTACTGCAGTACTTACGAGACAAACGCTCTAAGCTTTTAATCAATTACAAACGACTCATATATATGACAATAATAAGACCTATTTGGACTTACGGAATTGAGCTTTGGGGCTCCACTAAACCATTGAATTCCTCTCGTATCCAATCCTTACAACCCAAAATCTTTCGTAAAATCCTCAACGCTCCTTACTTTGTCACAAATAAAATCATCCAGAAAGACCTTAATGTTCCATATGTTTCCGATTTGGCCCAATCCAGATACCTATCCTTCCATAACAAACTGTAGAACCATCCGAACCCTCTCGTTTCAAACCTTACTTCCTCCTCAATCCCAGATAACCCTTCGAGGGGTCTGAAAAGAAGATGGCCTTGGGACCTTCTAATATAGAACTTTAATTTGAGTTCTACCAATGGGTAGTTTCTCTTCATGTTGTACATGTCATGTTACCAATGTCACATTTACTTGTTGTATTTCTCATGTAATACAGTTGTAAATTTCATTAAAAAAAAAAAAAAAGAAAAAAAAAAGAAAACATTTAAGTGACTACATCCATTCCCATTTTCAGAACAACCTTAATATTTTTTAAATGATTAGATTTATAGACAGGATTTAAGCAACTTTCCTTTAAAAAAATCAATCGGAGTTATCTTATAATTTATTATTTTTGCATCAACTCAATTTTGTTTACAGCAAGTTCATGTTCATGAGAAAAAAAAAATATATAAGAAATCCAATCCAAAACCTACAGTTAAAATCTCTCTATTATGTAAAAGGTTTTTAGCGACTTTCATATTTTATTTTATTTTAGTATTATGAGAGTAGAAGATTACAAGAACTCTCCTATTAGCTTTATGATTAGCACTAATTATACAGCTGTTCATTTAATTACAAATGTCTTGAGCTTCTGTAATCATCTACTATCCTAATACAAAATATAGATATACATTGTAGTGTTTTCATTACAGTATTGAGGTCATGTAACTCCTCCTCTCCTAATACAAAATAAAGATTTTACACCAAAAATTTATACAGAAAATAGTATTCATCTGGAGGTGATAGTTTGATTTTAATTAGGTGCCAACAGTTATTTTTTTGATCTAGAAATTTTCCCCTTGAATATAATATATTAATTATTATATTATAATATATATAATATTATTTATATTATATTATGATATAATTATAATTATTATGAAATAGAAAAGGAAGCACAATATAACATAAAATGAAAATATTAGAAAAAAAAAGCTTAAATTGATGTTGGGCTTATATGAAGCTAGACAAATTGAATATATATTGTGGTTACAAAATGACAATAAAAATAATTATAAATATATGATAATATAAATAGCATTAAGGCACCATGTATAATATAGATTTTTAAATGAATTAAAAATTTCTCTGAAAGGTGGTTTCATTCAATGTATTTTATGTTGATAAAAAATTAATACAATTTGAACACCAGAATGCATGTGAATTACAGTAATACAATTTTTTCTCCCCTTTCTTGCCTTTAAGGCTAGAGTTTTTTTTTTTTTCACGGAGGAGAGAGTAGGAGAATTATGCCAAGTTAAAAGTCCCACCAGGCACCGGAATTTGAACTTGTAATTAGTTTTCATCGCTAATTTCGGTTATCAGGTTGGTGGGCAATCCGCAAGCAGCCTGCTCAGCCATCCCATCCCCATAATTATACAATTAGAGCAATGAGTAGAACAATTAAATGGAAAATAGTATAATTTGTAAAATAGTAGTTGGTCCAACATTAGGTGTTTAGGGGATAACCCCCCCCCCCCTCCCCCACAGTTATAGTATAAAAAGAAAAAAAATATAATAATCAGGAAAATTCAAATGCTATAAGATTATGAGTTAAAAGGCTTTATAAAGATAAATAAATACTAGCCAAAGTAGTTGTCATTATTCATATCTAATAACTATTTCTAGTTTCAATTCCAAAATGTTTTATTCATCCAAGAATTGTGATTTTTATGATCTTTCACTCACCTGGGTCATCTTGTCACTTTTACCCTCCCAGGATAGTCTTTCATCATAGAGAGGGTCTGCATGTGTTCCAATATAAATGGGTTCCCAATGGACATGGTAACCCATCCGCTTTCCGATGTGGAACACCTTTAGTCCACCTCCCCCGACTGTGTAATTTGCCCACTCCTTAGAGTGCGGAACATTGTGGCAATCAGGGCACACTTTCTTGTGGAATGGAATAGCTGATCCATTCCTCAGCATCGATACCTGAGAAATAAGAAGAATGAACTTAAAATTAAATCATTTTTTTTTTTTGGAAAATGCTTAACACATTATTAATTTTAAAATAAAATTGGAAATCATTTTGCTATTGTTAACTTCAAAATAGCGTAAAACAAAAGCATCTCATTAAATTAATGTTTTTCTATTTAATAATAATTTGCTTTTATTAATCAATATATCTCTAATAATTAATGAAAAATGATTAAATGGACAGTGAAATTTCAATCATTTATCATATTTCAAGTGAATTATATTCAATGCTGGAGTTTTAATAGTTCAACCATCACTTATCTGTTTATAAAAATTTATTTCAATAATAATAAACAAAACAAATGATCATTTTACAAACAGCATTTTATTTACTTTTATTAAATTATTCTTATTAGATGAAGACTACATAAGAAGTTTACATCACATAAGAAATATTGCTAATTAATTTTTTCTACAAATTAAAAAAAAATTTCCTTCACAGTAATATAATGTGAGATAGGAAATGATTTGAAGTAACCAACGGATCTTTGATAAAAACTATTTTTGATGGTTTTTTTTTTGGAACTAGAACTTTTTCCTTTGTAAATTTTCGGGCAAAGATTTTACAGAACTTTTATTTTTTAAAAACGTGTATTTTAAAGTTTTGATTTCGCCAAAAAGTCGATTTATAAAACGACCTTTATGTTAGCTACTCAAATAAACAACAAATTAGAATCAAATAATTTATTTAAGATAAATTAAAACTCAAATCCATGCCCAATCACTGTTTAGTTCTAATTAAACGAAAAGTATTCCTAAGGACATTAATAAATAAAAAGTAAACTTTTAACTATAAATCTATAATTTTATTATTAAAAAGTTTCTAAGAAGTTTATTTTAACAACTTTTCTTTCTAAAGTGTTTCACATGAATTCTGTGGCACCTGTGTATAGTGTTTTATGGGAAAAATAATATTTAAGGGAAAACACAATTGAAATTTTCACAGGTGTAAGTTCAATTTTCGAACTTCATCTTATGATTCACAAACGAAAGTTCATCTGTGTAATAGCTGTATAATTTGGGCCAATACAATACACAAATGAAGAGAGAAAAATTAGATTCCTAGTGATATCAACAAAAATTCACATGATTGCACTTAACACATTTTTCACAGGTGCCATAAAATTATTAAAATGAAACTTTTAAAAAAATTTTCCCTCCTACTATTTTTTAGTAATATTCATTTTATCATCATTATCCTTTATTATTTTCATTTCATTATTCATGTTGATACCGAACAAGTCTAGTTATTTTAATCCAAGTGGAACCACTAATTACAAATGCTATGAGTCATTAAGTCCATGTAAAATAATAAATTACTGATTTAATATATTTTTTTCTTTACTTTGTTACTGTCAAACTAACAATAATAACTTTAAGAATCATATATGAAGTTTGGACATGTACTTGCGTTTCCAACCTCTGAGAGAGATTTTTAATTATTAAAAACAAAAACAAAATTCAAACTATCTGAAGGAAACAATTGAAATTACTTACTAATTCAGTCTTATCATTCGGGAGAGAACAGTTGGCTTCGATTTCAAAGATAGAGAGGGGAAAGACTTTGGGATTCTTATGCCTCAAAGGCGGGTCCTGGCGGCGGACCATTTCTAAAAAGTCGGAAATCACACCAGGGCTTGGGTACAGCTCAATATCAGAAGCCAGAATGTAATACGTGGTGGCCGATTCCCTGGCGATGTTTCTGCCTACGTTGACGGGGTACAGCAGCTTCTTCTGGCTCTTGTAGCTCGAGGGGTTAGTCCAAGGCGGAGGGGCGCTGCAGTTGTACTTCTGGCTAAACACTTTTGACCCTCGTGGTATGTTCTTGGGCATGTGTTTGCTCGGGAAATAGATGTGGAAGGTGACGTACTCAGCGATCGGCTGAGGGCTGCAATCTCTCAAATAGCTTATCGTCTGAAGGGTTGTGGTAAAGTCGGTACTTGGAGCGTGGAGGGCCAGGGATATCGGGCCTCTCCACCTTTCCAGGAGGGGCTCCAGGTTGTCCAAGAAAGTATAGTCGGCATGAGTTGTATACGTGATACTCTCCCAGCACCTGCGAACACACATTCACAATATCTTAGTTCTGCAGCTTTAATGTTGATAAAAACAGAATTACAATGAATTTATAACAGAAATTATAATGAATACATATTTAGAGACCACTATTTCTATCTGTCTTTATTATAACTATTAATCATGCTTCTAAAAAAAAAAGTAATCAATAACAATGTTTTTAACATGTTGATGCAATTTTTACTTTTACTTACCTATATTTGAAATATATAAAGGAAAGTACTGCGATCGTGAAAATTTTTGAATCTCAGTTTTCAACGGAAATACACGTTTTGAGGTCCTCTAAGTCCAAATAACCAAGTCTCGCAAAATGGTGTGTGTGTGTGTGTTAACAGTCTAGCTCAAAAACGAAAAGTTGTACGAAAGTGGAATAGCATATTTAAGGTTTTTATATGCTAGGGATGTCACAGTAACTTTTTTATCAAAATCGACTGACCGGAAGTGGCACTTTATATCATGGGCTAAACACATTTTTACAATTTTCTCGGAAACACCTTTAACGATTTTGATTAAATTCATTACATCAGTTTTAAATAAAAGTAGGTTTTATTCTGATTGATGTTTTCTAACAGGGCTTAAATGGCTGATTTTCAATATTAGCTTCCTCTAAAGTACCTTTAATTTTTTTTATTTAAAACAATTGAATATTTCACATTAATCTCTAATATAAAAGATAGTTAAATATAAAATATGAAAGAATTTGATAATTAACTAAAGGATAAATAAAAAATCGTAACGGAGAATAGTTGTGGTGGGAAGATTGCATTAAAGCCGATCTGAAGGGACTGGATTTGGACGGCGAACGGTGGAGGAAGATGTGTAATAAGCGATTGGTGGTGTCGGCTTCGAACCTTCGGGTTCGCTAAGCCTTTTATTATTATTATTATAACGGTGAATAGTTGTAATCGATCGTACCCGAGCTCGCCAGAAAGATTATAACAGGCTTCCATTCGGAACATGTGCTTAAAATAATCCGGACTGCGATAATATTATATAAATACACATCTGCGGTTTTCATAAATGCTATTGTTAGTATTATTTAATATTTAATTGTATAGAATACACCGTTATGCATATTAAAATTTGTATATATAAGGATACTTATACAAATAAAAATACCCACAATGAAATATAAATAATTATAATTTTTATTTTCACTTCTCCTTTGTCTGAAAATACTTATTTCTGCTAAGAAGAGGGTACTAAGTGAAAGTTGTGTGATGCGCACACAGCACCAGATTTTTATCAATAGAATGTAAATAACATTTTCAACAAAGTAGGGTAAATAAAACCAAGTGTTAGCAACAACCGTTATTGATCGTTTTTTGAGCAACTGTATGAAAAATGTAATATATTAATTATTCATATTATCAAGAATGTTATCTCAGTATAGACCCACCGTAAGATATTTATTTTTTTCAAAATTATTTATCTTATACCTCTTTCTAGTGAATTTCATATTTACAAAGGATATATCCGTGTATATAGAATCCAACTTGTAAATAGAATAAACAACTAATTAACTACAACATATTATAATAAACAACTAAAACTGACTAGCATAACTATAATTAAACACATCAATATATAATATGCTGAATTATGAACTTTGAGAAAATTATGAAGTTTTCGACAGAATCCAAATATGTAATTGACTCTGTATAGAATACAGTGTCTCTTTCAACATTATTACGCATTTATATTCCATTGCCGTTTTAGCCATAGGTTGATAAACATGTCTCCGATTAATCGTAAGGAGTGTTATACACATTTAAAATAAAACTTATTGTACTCTTATTTGGAGAGAAACAACTATTTTAACTGCTCTCTTGTAAAGTTGGGTAAATGTTATAGAGTGCCCTACCATCTCCGAACTACAAAATTACTTTACAATAATTTTTGAAAGCTCTTTATAATAGTAATACTTCATCACAATTAGTTAGGGTAAAATACTCATTCATATTCCTTCATAAAAAAACGCCAATTTACTTCGAGGTCTCTTTTTCATTAAGCAGTACTAATTTCATTTCAATCACATTATTATTTTTTCTCTTCAAATCTTAATCCGTACCTGTCATGAATCCGATAATAAGCAGATATGTTGTGTGATATAAATTTGGAAAGTAATATTTTTGGCATGAGGGAGGATAGTACCTATTAGCACATATTCCTGGTTTATGGGTAGATCTTTAATTAAGAAAAGATCTCTCATCCAGCCCCTTTTCATTCGCCTCTTGATGGATATCCGTGGGCACTTCGTTTGTAAGTCTATTGTAATGCCCTTGGAGTTTAATATGAAATCGGGAGTAAAGAGTATATGTTGATAGTCATAAGACGGGATACAAAGTTAAGTTGTATCACGGAGCTGATGTTACTAGTCTTAAAATTTTGAACAGAAAACATTGTAGTTTTTATAAGTGCGTCTTATTTGCTGAGGCGTAAATCTGTGAGGTGTGTGTCCATATATTGAGTAGATATATTTACGTATTTAGTTGTTGTCCGACTTACAATTTTGATTGAAAAATAGAAATAGAGTATTTTCAGTCGTTAGTATAAAACCTTCTTTACATTTCGATGAGTGAAATTGTTAAATTTCATGACGTGCACGAGATAGTATACCATCGATATATTCCTAGATTAGGTAGAAGTATCTTGTTCAAAACGAAATAAAACATCACTGTTTATCGGATTTTTTCCGAAGGAACGATCTACGATGCAAGACTTATTATGATAAACTCCGGCTACATTCAGAGCTATTCTAGCCAGGTCGGCAAGTCAGCGATCGCCGAGGGCCTCCGAATCTGGAGGGGGGGGAGGGGAGGGAGCTCGGAGCTACCCCAAAAATAATTTTTTATATTCGTCGATTTCCGAAACATTTTGGGGCCCTTTCGATAGGCCCCCAACGTACATACTTTATACTTTTAATCGCCATAAGGGTTCCTCGTATGAAGACCGATATGATTATTGTCCTATACCGTTGTACATTTGGCTCTCAAAATAATTGTTTTCTATTCGTTTATTTCCGCAATTTTCGTGGCCCCCCAATAGACCACCAACTTATATATTTTGTACTTTTTTTATTGACGCAGAATCATTGTAGCCCCCCTCTGAGAGCCTCGAATATCTTGGTTTTATATTTATCAAGCACCGTTGTACTCTTGGACCACACAATAATTCTTTCGTTCTTAATTCTTAATACAATAATTCGTTAATTTCCGCAAATTTTGAAGGCCTCTCCGATGGGCCACAACATAAATGTTTTAAACTTTTTTATTCCAGTATAATGATTGGGGATTTTTCTTAGGATCCCGAATATCGTTATGTTTTATTAATATAGTACCGTGATATGTATGGCTAAAAAATAATACCTCGGAACTGACTATATTACAACGAAATGTAAATTTACAATCATGTAAAAATTTTTTTTATAATTTGATGATTAACTTCTAAAATAAGTAAGTCCATAAGAAGTGAATTAGACCACAACGTTTTAGAAGTATGCTATCGTTGTTCTAATCGTACAACGGTACCCGTTGTCTTAGTACGTACTAGTCACTGGCGAAGGCCCGCAAAATGAATTAAAACGGGTTCATCAAATTTTAACAATCATCAACTCAACAACCTTGAGCATTATCTCCTTCATAATGAATTTGCAGTAACCATGAATGACAAATATTAACAGGGAAAATAGGAGGTATTCAAACGTTGAAAATTTGAATGTTGGGAATTTTTGGTGAAAAATGTCCCTCAGAGAAGGATATTCGGAGCCGACGCGGATCGGTAACTGTTTGCAGAGGACGCCGTGACGACTAGACACGAAATGGGCTAGGCCATTTATCAATCTCAGTTATCTCGAAGGTAAGGAAAGCTCGCTTCACAGATAACTTTTATCACTAAGCATAGCGTTCTGTAAAGTTTTTTTATCGGACATCTATTCTCCCTCTGACGTTTGTAAATATGTATTTGTTTAAATCCCACATCAAATCAGCAATATAATTTTTTTTTATTATTATTCATGATAAATAATTTATTTATTTTAAAATAAAACATACAGACTTTTAATGTTAATGTTAACTGATCTTGAAATTCGGGGAATGAGATAAAATTTATCTACAACAATAATTAAACTCAACTAATATAATAGAAAATAATAATTATTATAGTTGTGTTAAAGTTAATCGTGTAATTTCATATCAGACTACAACATTAACCAATTTTTTCTGCAATAATTATTACCATTTGTTCTATATGAGAAGAGAGAAGTTGTTGTAGCGGACAGTTAGTTCATCTGCACGCTACCTGGCACCGCCACAAGTGTGCTTTTTATCAAAAAAGTTCTATTTTTATTTCATCTTATTTTAATGTATAAAACTGCAGTAGAAACTTGTAAATATGTATATACATTGAATTTTATAGTAATAAGATATATTGATTAAATCTTAAAAATATCTCGAACTAAAACTTGCTGGCCTTGTTATCATTACCAGCCATTCTGAAGCACAGGCGGATCTACGGGGGAGGCTTTCCGGCTGAAGCCCCTCCCCCCAAAATGGTAAAATTTAACCATGTTTTACAGAAAAAAATATTAAAAACTATCTCTTAAAGTATTCTTATTCGTGTAATTATAATTAATAGGACTTGAAGAACCACTAAACACCATTTCATATAGGTAATTAATTTCTTTATTTTTTTCAAATTAATTATCGTTATGTGTATATGAAAAAAAAAATCTTTGGGGCTGAAGCCCCCCCCAAAATTAAATCCTGGATCCGCTAGTGTTCTGAAGTGATTTGTATATTAATTGTTCCTTCTTCCTTCCGGGAAGAAATAGCCATAGCCAGACTCACCTCACCTCTAGTCGATTGATCAATATATTTTTTATACGATATGGAACCATATCAATCTGACTATATGCTAATCACATGTTCCTTTATCCCTATTTCCTTCTCTCTTCCATATAAGGTCAGTATGCCCATCCATCCACTTGTAGTAATATATACCAATACTGAACACTCATCCCTACGTTGGTGATTCTTCATCAAACAAAGTTTTAAAACTCTTCTCTCCGTGGTTTAGCGGGTTACCTAATCAAATAGCAAATAATAGAGTAAATGTTTTTTACATTTATATGTCTATGTACTTATTTACATAAGTACAGTGTTAAGAAACGGGTATCTGGATTTGTTTTAAAAGTAACCATAAAATTTCGAATAGTAAAGGAAAGGAACATTATAAAACGTATCGTATAATAGTAATGCGATTGAGGAGAGTCGCTATTTACTGATACCAGTGGTGTCAATTCAGAAGCTGAAAAGAACTGAAAATTTTCTAATTTGAGAACATTTTTAATTTTTATTCCAAGGTTCAGGCAAAGATGTAATGTATTAAGTAACTATTTTGATTTGTATTCCTAGATGATTCCGAGGCTAAGATTGGCCGGAAAAGCTCAAATCTGTATATTCGCACCAAATTATCCTTACAAAATTTTTTACAATTTGAATTTGGTTGAGATAAAAAAAACCAAAAAAAAAAAAAAAAACCGGATCTCTATCTGGAATAAAAGTTTTTTTAGACTCAGCCTGTTTTATATAATTTATTGTATCATTCGTTTGGACAGTGCCAGCATTAGACTTTCGTCGCCCCACCAGGCAATGATCCCATCTCCCCCCTAAAAAAATTAAATTTATTCTTAAGCTATTTTAAATTGTATAATATTTTAATTTTATTTCATTCAATATTTCTTTAATACTGCTGCTTTATTGATAGGCTAAAATTAAGTATTTTAATCTGTTTTATATTTTAATAATTTCCAACATTTTTATTTATTTTTTTTATATACACCCTTTCTTGCCTTAAGGCAATACGGATTTTGGTGAAGGTAGCGTAATAAATAATATATCTATCACTATATCCCTGCCATTTAAACTTTAGTGGTGCAACTGAAGTTCAAATGAAGTCCACACCTTTAGAAGCTTTGTCCATTATGGACTGCTTTCTGCCGCCGCCTCCTATCTTCGCCTAAGGGCTCCAAGGTTAAAGTGTTCCGGTCCCACAGTCATCATCCACCCGTACACGACCTCTTCGAAGTACGGATATTTTTTTTTTCATGAGGGAGGGGAAATCATCTTCTGTTATAACAAATAACCCCGTTTTCCTCCGTAGCGTGTTCAGTAAGTCCTTTAAAGCCAGTGCAGGTCATTACTATATGTTCGGCAGTTTCCGGAACGTGGCACCTGGAACACAGGAGGTCGACATCATTGCCAAAGCTGTGCAGTTTGGCCCGAAAGCCACCATGCTCCGTGAGGACTTGCGAAACCCAGTAATAATTTCTTACAATTGGCAAGCGCCCCTAAAGATCTGCCGGTGCCCCAATGTGCGCCCCTCTATGTCAGCTTCCCGGGCCGATTGCCACGGTTGCCCCGATCTAAGGCCGGCGTTAGATATAATTAGATTCTTCATTTAGATATAATTCATGAGGTTTAGAAACAGCTTTCGGAACTTCTTTCTATTTAAATATACCAGAGTTATGACTGTTGTTGTTTGAAAACTAAAACACTAATAAATTATAATGGAATATTCTTGTTAACTTTATTACAGATAGCAATACAGAATTAGAATAAATGGCTATGAAATTGAGTAGTGGAATAGGAAACAATCAAAAGAGAGCGAATGGTTACAGCTCCTGGGACGGATACAGGTATACTAATCCATGCAGATGTGAATGAATATTGCAAGTAATTTAGCGTGGAATTGCGTGACTGAACTCTGTCTCCATAAGCAATCCAACTCAACTGATTAGATTCTGCTTCGATTAAGTGTCACATATGCGTGAGGCATACCATCTAATTCATCACCACTAATAATTACACCCTGCTGTGCTGCACGTTATGGGAATTCACCTGAGCGAACAACAGTTGAGCTCTTTTTAAAAGAATAAACTGCACAACAAATATGTAAGTATACCGATAACTACGTATAATGTTTTTATTGACATTTTTTCATGGCTGACGGGATTCAATAATAGCTACGTCTATGTTAATTACAAATAAATAAATTAAAAATGGGCAGTGGAATGAGGAAATCTCGATTTATGATGTAAATAAGAAGTAAAAAGTATGCTTGTGTATCTCATATCAGTAATAATGTTACAAAATTTGATGTTCTCGTTTTCCTTTTAGTGGTCATTTGTTTCGTCTTTCTATCTTTCTTATTTTTATTTTATTTATTTTTTTTTTGTCATCAGTAAAATAGGCATGAAATCTGTAATTGTAAGGTCGGCAAAATATTGTCACGCGGTTCATTCGTATCATATGCGGATTTTTAATAAGACGAAGTGGAAAAATATTTCTAATTATAAGATCAAAAATAACTATATTTTGATGTTTAAAAGCCAAAGTAAATTACTGGCGATAACAGTGACGCGGTTGGGATAGAAGGACTGGGATCTCCTGAAGTTCTATTTTGCCTTCCATAAGCTTGACTGGAAGTCCTTTGAACGAATCTAATATTGTACATACGATTAGGTATGACTGGGTTCTACTTAATTAATGATAATTTGGTTAAGTGGTATGGTCCACCAGAGTACGGTCAACAACAAACGACGATTTTTCCAACTATGTCGAAATTGACACATTCACTATTGGTTCTATTTAGACACATACAATGAGTTCTTTAAGAGAAAAAAACAAAACAAAAACATAGATTAAAAGTTCCAGACCATCAAATTCTGAATACCAACAATTTTAAAAGTACTTGACGTCTTTCGAAATTGGTAATCTACTAGATGTCTGGCAATTGGCAATGAGGCACATATGATTTACATACAACGCTTAAAGAGTTTCAATGTTCATAGAAATATCTGTACGGGGATATTCTTGTTTAGAAGATGATATAAGTCGTAAAATCTCTTTTCCGGATCGCTACAATCTGGATATGGATTTTGGATCTACAATATGGATTTTGTCGAAACAGGTGTCAAACAAGAGGTATCGCAAAAAAACAAAACAAAAACATTATCTTACTATCATCGTTTATTTATCATCTTAACTATGCAGTATTTCTGAACTATGGGTGTAGATTAAGTATGACATCAGGTATTATGATACATACCAGGAATTATGCAGAAGGGAAAAGGAGAATCAGTGGAGTTGGTTTAAACTGGAAACTCTTAACGTGGCTCGATAAAGTTTAATTAAAAACTTTGCTTATGAGTGCAGTTTAGTAGCCATAACTATGACCAACCCTATACCATGCCCTAATTGAACCGCCTTCATCAAAGTTAAACTAAACTAAAATGCTGTACGCTATAACGCCTTTTTTATAATACCAAAGTTATCCCATAATGCGATTTTATAATTTATTGAAAACAGTAGTTAGACGTCACAAAACTCAACGGGTAATGGCGAAACTAAATTAGATTTTGTCAGAGGAATTCTAGGTGTACATTTTAAAAAAATCACAATAAGTAATAAAAAAAGTGGGTAATGAATATAATAACGTATTTGCCGCCGGTTAACTTGCATTTAAACTTTCCACCGAAAAATTAATTTTAAAGGATTTTTTTTTTGTAACATGAATAAATGAAGAAAAATAACCTATTTATGGTCATATCTATAACATCAGTAATTAATACTATAAAAAAAATGCTAATGAGGAAATAAAGAATGCTATGATGTTTATAATAATTTATCATATAATAGAAAATTAAAAAAATTAGTATTTTTTTCAAAGCGTCAAAACGACTGATTTTTTTTCAAAAAGAAAATATTATTCACAATTCCAACTTGAACTTTAATGCCCAAAATTTTCAATTGCATGCTCAAACTTTTTTCCTTTTTTAATTCATAGTTTCATTAAAAATATCACTAATAAAATATATGGAGAGGTGCGCGCATCAGGTATCAAAATCCGGTTCAAAAATATATTAAAACAACAATAGTGAAATTTCAAAATCTGAAATAATTTTGTAAAAGTGATCAAAAATGAGGATTTTTGAGGAGGCAAAACTATAAAGTAACAGGTAGGAAATGAGAACTTCAGAAACTTTGGATTGTGATAGATCCAATAGCAATGATTTACAGGCTGTCAGGGCACAATGAGAATATCCTGATTGCTCTAGCACAATCTCCCGGTTTCGCTGAGCACTTTATTCAATGAATAATCCAACACTTTGTCAACTCAAAGTTGATGTCGGGACAGAACAACTGCATTATTCCAATCCTACCGATAATGCCTAAGGCATTCCGAATCACTGGATGCATTAATATAAAATAATCAAACACGTCGAATTGAAATATCTTAAATTTTATATTAAATAACTCTGACAAATGAGCCCTCGTTTCGTCAAACATAATTTCTTCGGTAAGACATATTTGACTTTGTGAAGGAGACTAGTAGAGAGGAGTTGGAAAAACAATTTTACACGTTTTCATTTGGTCTCAAATGGTCCTCTAACTCAGAAAGCATATTTTCAAAATATTCTAATAACGCAGGATTTTTGGACATTATTGTTCTTTATTTTTACTTTAATTTTTATTATACAAAATATTATTATAACATAGTATTATATATCGCTACTGTTAGTGCAAAAAGTCATATGTAAAAATTTTACATGTTTATTCTCTTTGCGTTAAACAATTATCACTCACTGATACGATTTTACATAAATAATAATGATTAAATTTTGACCAAACAAATTTTGATCAGAAAATAAAAATAAACTTTTACAAATAAATAAAATAAAATATTAATTTGTATGTATTCGTTTTTAATGTACACATTTTTAATATTATGTTTTTATGTTTCTGAAATCGCTTTAATTGTGAACGTGGCACCTGCACTATAAATATATATATATATATATATATATATATATATATATATATATATATATATATATATATATTGTAAGCCAAAAGTTCTAGTAAATTTCAGATATTAAGATGTTCTGTTGCTAATAGTTGATAACTATATTTTCCACCTACTACTCCAGACTCAAATACATCATAAAGATTTAAAAAAAATATATATATTTCAGTATTACTCAAGAATTATTATTGTTAATTGTAAATAGTTCCAAATATAAATTTATATCAGTTTTGAATTTTGTTTTGATTGTTTTAATAATTATCGATTTAAAACCCTGATAGTAATTAATTTATAACTAAAAATAATAAGTTTATCAAAATTGAAAGTTTTTTGTAAACTGTAGAGAAGCATTTGCGTTGAGATAAACAGGAAAACTGGGATTATGATTAAATTTCGTTAGCAGTTCACATCGAAGGACACATTAAGTGAAAAATAAGAAACATCCTTAACGAGTCCTTAACTGAACAAAACAAGTAAAAAAAGAAATTCTAAAATTTGGTTGTTACCGGAAAGTTACAGTAAACGCACACTCTGAATTTTATAAAAACTAAAAATATTTATTTTATAAATAAATAAATACATTTGCAACTTTTCAGTAAATATTTCATCTTCAATTCAACTCTCTCTCCAGAACTCTCTGAAGTTGGGTGGAGTAGAGGTTTATATCCCTTGAAGGCTGGTGTATACCTCGCCAGCACGACAGCTGCGTTTCCAGGGTTTGCCTCCTCCTACCCCCTTCCCAGCGATGAGCTCAACTGATTGATTAGAACGACCGACAAATTAAATGCTTTTCTTTCTAAAATCTACAGTGGAAAAATCCAATTAGCTCTTATTTTCGAGATAGGATTATTTTTAAGTCAAAATTTTTGGTTAGTAAATATGAAATAATGAAAATTCGGTCCCATTTAGCAAGGATGTTGTAATTGGATCGACCGTTATTTAAGAAGATTAATGATCATCGAACGAAAAATTCAAAATTAGCCGTCTCTTGATCCGAGGAGCGTTCTTTTGCAGGAACGAAAAACATTCAAGTATTTAAGAGGGAAATTCCCCGGAGTAAGTGGTGCTAAGGTAATGGAAGGAAACTTCGTCGGCGTCAAATTCGTGAAATATTTTAAAGACGGAAATTTTTATCGAATACTAAAAGGATAAAAGAAAGGCAGCTTGGGAGCAGTTCAATAAACTATGTGGATTTCTTAACTACAGGAAACACATTAACAATTCTAAATTTGTCAAATAACTGTTCGAAAAATACCAAAAATATAGATTATAATTAACAACTATAAACTTTTTTTAACTTATATTGATGTTTAGCTGTTTTATCTTTTTTAACCTAAACATATTTAAAATAGAATGAAAATAATTTTATTATCTTGGGATTAAAATCCCTTTAGGACAAATTATAAAAACAGAATATGAGGGTGTTAAGATTAAGATTTTGCTTCTTGATTAGAAATTTAATACAATATTTCGAAAAAATACTTTCATAATATTTGTATATTATGAATATATGACATATAAATAATATACAGTTTAATGTCAATTGCTGTTTTTTTAATAATTATTATAATATTATAAAAGAAGTTTTTAAGAAATAGGTGAGTACAATTCTTTTTCGTTCTCCAGTGAGAATGCTCTTAAGATGTTACAACATTGCTGTATCTTCATATTCTCTCATTTTCACATTACCGTGATGCCCAACAGCGATGGATCTATACATTACAATCAACTCTCCTTCTTTCGCTGTAATGGTGCAATACAGTTTGTTAAAAGTTTCTTTAAATATTATTATCACCAACACAAAAGATAAAATATAACCAATAAACAAGAAAAATGTAATATATAAATTAAACTGTCAAAACTGCCCCAAAATCTACATTGGTGAAACATCCAAACAGTTAGGAACTAGAATCTCACAACATATCACCAACTGTAAAAATCCGAAAAACATAAACATAACAGCCTTAGCACATCACAGTATAAAACTACAGCATAAATTTAACTTTAACAAACCACAAATAATAGGCACAGAACCAAAAAACACCAATAGAAAATTACTTTAAGCAATACACATTACAAAAAACAACAGAACAACAGGCAACTACAAAACAGACACTAAACATGTAGGAACCCATTATACGGACATATTGAACAAAATTAAAATTTAATAGAAGTGAAATCACAGACACATAAAATAAACATTAACAACAATAATAAAAATAGTCAGATAAAATATTCAGATCCAAAGGTCAATTTTTTCACTATGGCAGAAACCCAATTATTGGTCAAAAGGAGGATGTTGCTCTAGATGATACATTTTAGAACATGAATCAGAAATTTGACGATGGAGCACATTATTATTATTAAATTTAAGGTAATTACAAATTTATGTAACAACAAAATTCAAATATGTAATGTAACAAGCACAATACTATAACTCAAAAAAATTTTAGCCTTGCATCCACAAGAGTATTGGGATTGCAGTTCCGAAGATGGGAATAGATCTCCCGAAACGTCAACTAAGTGTTAACATGTAACGTTGATAATTAAAAATATACTCAATTGTTACCAATTGGAAGTTATTATTGCCAAACAACTAAAATAAATAGACAACTTCCCAGAAAAAAAGAAAAAAGAAAATTTAAATATTAAATGTTTTTGTTTTATTAACTTTATGTACTTTATACAGTCATACATGTCGCACTAAGTGAAAATCAGGAAAAGTGTTGATAACTTTGATTCTGAAATTTCAGGGATCAGGAAGGATGTACATAGGCAGCACCTCTTCCTTTTTTTTTTCTTTTTTATTATCATTATTGTTACGTTATCTAATGTTTACATCCATCCTTCTAGGTCTTGCTCCTCATTTCAGAAAAAAATGGTATTTAATTTATTTACAGATATTTATTTATTAAATATTAAATTATTTATTTAAAGATATGATTTGTTACTATGGATTAAGAATGGAACAAAAAGAGCTTAGATTGAATGTAATGTGGCTAAAAATTAATCGACGACTTAGTAAATTAAACATAGGAAATTAATTATGCTAAAACGGAGAGTTTTTTTCGTTTAAAAAAGGAAGATGAAATTATATTTAAGTTTAAAATAAAAATCTGCGAAAATAAACATTCCGATCATATTGTTTGTTTAAGAGTTGCCTTTGATAGAGATTTAAGATTTTTGGCACACTTTTGTATACAGATTAAAACCGTAAGACAGAAATCACACCGACGAAGCCATATTTTATCTTCCACAAGCCTTTCAATGCGTGTTAAAATTTAAGTCTAGAAAATAATTATACGCCCGACTCTTTTCTTATGGCACACCATTCAATGATAACCAAATTGACAGAAAAACGTCTGGAACCTTTTCAAAATGTAATTTTATGAAAAGTAGTTAAGGAATGATCGTCAACAGAAGTAAAGTCTCAAAACTCCGCCAGAAATAAAAATATCTGGAGTTAATTATTTCACAACTGAAAGGGACGCCAAATTTTATTAATCAGTAAATAATGATACGATTCCTATGTGCATTTATTTAAACCTTCTACAGCACCTCAAATATAGCAAAAGTTATTTATCTGTTAAATTATCAGCCAATTATGATACAGAAAGCGAGCACATTAACAGAAATAATAACGAATACATTAAGCCTCCTTAAAATACAAATATGAAGTAAATAGATATAGTTGTATCACTTATGAGAAGAGATATCAACAAACGAAATTAAGTTCTCTTTTCATCGGCCGCTGATGAATACAGGGATGGTTGGCGATTGGACTTGTTTTTCACAATATGTATATACTTGTTTCAACATCCAGGAAGAGACAGAATGAATGCTGTCCTCACAAAGAAATCCATTTCTATTCCAGAGGGTGAGCGACCTCCGCCGCTTGAAAATGTCACCAATCTTCATGAGGACTCTTATTGTGCTCATTTCACAATAGCGGCGTTAGTTCCTACATCAGCTAATCAGTATCTATCACTAATGAGAATGCCTAGCTGTTTTTAGGATAAAGTCTGGAAAGGCTAGTATAATTGGTCGCATATTGTTAATAGTTTTTATTTTTTCGGGGAAAAAGAACAAAAATAAATTATATAATTTTAATTTTTTTATTTATGCCAACGTTTCAACCCAAACATGTGGGTCATCTTCAGGGCTCAAACCACGGTTAGTAAGAGAAAATATTACCAATTTAGATAAATGGATTATATACATTATTTTTTTAATTTTTATTTTGTATAACTATTTGCAATATGTGTATATATGTTTATTGCAATATTAGTTAAGATTCATGTACCTTCAATTACTACAGTTTATTTTTTATAATTTGCGGTCGTATACCAATAAATCCCTGATTGTATATATATATATATTATGTATATATATAACGGAAATTGGGAAACATTACCAGTCTTGCTTGGAACCCAAAGGTGGAAACATCTAAAATAAAACTTATCAAAGAAGCGGTTCATCTTTCCTGCCTCAGTTCGTTCTCACCAGGTAGCCTTCCATACACTAGGCGTCGGTAGTTAAAGTGAGGAAGAATGAGAAAAATCATTGCTGATTAGGAAGAGATTCAAAATAAATCGGGTGAGCCCGATATGGCTAAGCATCTGGTGCTTCAGCGAATGTGGAGAAAAAATTGTGGTTGTAGACCACATCCTCTCTCTGCATATACGTCACTTATAAAACAGTACTTCCTTAACTAACAAGAACACTGAAACCACCCATTTATTTTGATGGTGCAGGTTTATGTAAGTTTTATTGTGTAAGTCAAGAGAATTTTTAAAAATTATGATTGTGGATTGATGGTTGTCTTTATTTTGTACCAACATTTTTTAGATTGTACCTTTCATCAACATATTATTTTATTATTATTATTTAATGCCTATAGTTTCTCATACTTATGGCCCTGATGAAGACCTGAACTTTGGCCCAGAAAAACTTCGACAAAAATAAAAATAAATGTACTTATTCATTTTTACTATTTTTTTCTTCTTACTGATCATCCCAACCATTCTTCTCTTAGATTTAAAAATTATGGTGTTATAACATTTACAAGTTATGTCTGATTGTAAAATGAATTTGTCGAAATGGCTGAACTACCTTGTAACTATGTTTTTTTTTCAAAAACTATTATTCAAATGAAGTATGTCACATTTATTTTAATTCTTTTATTGATTTTTGGAAAATTTATTTATTGTAATTTACAATTGTATTAGTTAACAAATACAACAAGTAAACTTGAAATTGGTAACATGGCATGTACAGCATGAAGAGAAACTAATCATTGGTAGTTTAAATCTTCTAATGTTCTATATTAGAAAGTCCCGAGGCCATCATCTTTTCAGACGCGTTGGAGGGTTATCAGGAATAAAAGAGGAGGCAAGGTTAGAAACAAGAGGGTTCAGATTGTTAACAAGTTTATTACGGAAGTATAGGTGTCTGGATTGGACTTATTCGGACACAAGAAACATTAAGGTCGATGTCGAAGATTTTATTGGTGATAAAAAAGGGGCATCGAGAATTTTACGAAGGATTTTGTATTGGATACGAGAGAAATTCGATGACTTAGTAGAGACCCATAGCTCAACTCCATATGTCCAATAGGCCTTATTATAGCAATGTATATGAGTCTTTTTTAGTTAATTGGAAGTTTAGAGCGTTTGTCTAGTACGTGTTGAAGTAGCTGGAAATGTCTAGCTGTTTCTTGTCGTTTCAGTCTTTTATGAGGATTCCAAGGAAGAGATTTGTTTAGATGTAAATCCCTACATATTTAACGTTGCAATTAGTTAATCTATAATAATTATATTCCAATTATAGAAAATCTGTCTCACCTGAATTGCCTTTCGGCTAGAATATAGTTGTAGAGCACCCAGTAGTCACCGCGCTGGGCAGTCTTCTGGAGGGGTCGGACGTCAAGACAGTCTATGTTAGCCTGGACGGACTGGGTAGTGCTGTGCTCTGTCGTTGAAGGACCACTGCTATTGGTTGGTTTACCAGTACCTGCAACAGGAATAAAACTCTTAAGACCTACTTCAAAATACACAGCAGTATTATAATAAGGCTAAAAACGTTTTTAATTCTTCAATATTAGGGGATAAACTATTCTCGGTTAGAATAAATGTAAAAAATAAAATCCAAACTGGAAAGGTTCAAGATCTGAGATTTCTTGCGATTAAAATAGTAATTATCTTCTGCTTAGGTGATTTGTTAAATGAATAACAAGGAATGCCTCAATAGAAGACAAAATATCACGTGGAAGGCCAAAAAGCAGATGGATATACAGAATCAACAAATATGCAATACAGCAGCGTACAGATAAATGTAAATAAATAGCGCAATACAGGCAGGTATGGAGCAGGCTTGTTCAGGCGGCAAAAGATCTACATGACCTGAAATGCCAACAGAAAAAAAAAATGTTTAATACTGAAAACATACAAACATACTGCAAAATAATTTTAAAAAACACCACTAATGTTTTATTTTAAAAAATAACGAAGCCAGTATTTTGTTTTACGTTAAAATTCAATTGATAAATAATTTAATGAATTAAGGACTAAATGTCTAAGAGCTGTAATAATTTATGATTATAAGAATATAAAAACAGCAGCAACTATCTGTAAGTATTTTCTCAATGAATTACAACATACCTAATCTAAAAATTCCTGCTAGATTCGACTAAGTTATTTCAGTTCATTTCGAACTGAGCAGATAATGAGCCAGGGCTTCGTGATTGGAATCCAACCGCAACGCAAGACGAGGTCCGAATTCTGATAACTCGGACCGGCGTGTGAGTGACCTTATTCAAATTTGCTCTTTATAAAATTTGATTTCAACTAAGAGGAGTTTACATCCAATATAGAAGACACGTATGAACACTTTTTATGGATATATTGGCAGGAAAACGAAATTTAATCAAAGATATATTGAACAATATTGACTAATTGAAGCATACATCACAAGCTAATTCAAATTATACGTAATGATACTGATATAACTACCTCCCATGGTTAAGAGAAATACTTAGTTTCTTCTTATATGTAATATGAATAAGCGAAATTATTAAGATGGAGATTTAGTTATTAACTCATAAATCATGATTTTTCAGACAAGAACGCTCTGAAAATATCTTTGAAATTGGTTGACAGCTTTTTAATTGCTTTAAGATAGAAAAAAGGACATCATTTTATGTCCTGTCACATATATCTTCGCATTTGACAGGGAATAAACCAAGTGGTTGTTTAACCAATGTCCTAAGATAACAACGAAATCTCAATTTCAAGGAAATATAATTTAGTTGCCTATGTTACGTATTGATTTGTTAATTTTTAATCAATGTATAAGTGCAAATAGGTATATATTTATTACAAGAAATAAAAACCGATGGTATGTCCTTAACACCACACGATAGAAGTGAAAACAAGGTGGGATTAATAATGTGAAGTATAAAGTAGGCTTATTGCAAAAGGTTATTAAGTGATATTTCATAACCTTAGATAAATATGAAATTTTCCTTTATAAAATCAGAAAATTGTGTGCTTGTTTTAAATATATTTGAAATGTAAATACGTTTTTGTCACTTTCATGTAAGTACATACTGTGTTTTGTTTTAATAAATAAATCGAAGTTAAACTACATGAAATATGCACTTAAAATTAGTGAATTTTTGCAATAAATCGATGATAAATATTTTTTTGTGTTTTGTATTCATCAATTAACAACAATTACAATATTTACAATTATAATTGTGTATAAATTACTCTGGTAAACTTTGCTCAGACTGATCCTCATTCGATTTAAAACGATAGGTTTACGTTAACGAAAATATGTAATGAACAATTCACTTTTTATGGTTACGAATAATTAAAAAAAATATCTATATTAACTTCTGCGAAGTTGTTTATTAATTCTACATGGTATTTGAAAGTTGCAATATTTTAGTCTAAATGTTTAAAATAATCGTTATTTTTTTAATTTATTTATTTCTGAAATATTTTAATCCGAATGCAAACATCAGTCGACTCAAGCCGATTTTATGACAGCCGAGCGTGATGGCTTAGTCTCATTCAATGCCCACAAAATAAAGTGTTAAGGGCACATAAAAAACATTTCATTTCAATAAATTAATAATAGTATAATACTAATAATAGTATAAAATTAATAATAGTAATACTAACATATTAATAAAGTGTAAAAAATCATTATAGGTTAGCAACTTGAGGGAAACTCTTTCAGTGTTCATGTAATCTTTGTTATTGAAATAACAATCGACTTAGAAATTAGTACACGTAACATATTGCAAGGTTTATTGTACGAGGTTTAAAAAACAAATTTGAGGTAATCTTATAGTAATCTACAGTTTTTTCTCTTTAGTTGTTCGCCAATAGTTATGGCTTCCTTAAAATTATCGGCTAGGTAAGATATTTGCATCCTTGAAATCAACAACTTCATTCCAATATTATGGGAGCTTTATTTTAGACCTTTGTCACATGAAGCTCCCAGCGGTTGGTGAATACTGGATTCCTATTGCATTGGATTCTAGAAATTTCATAAGCAGAAATCTAATACGAGATGAATACACGCAACATCATCCAGCGCAAGCGTGTACCGACCGCACTAGGCTTCAATTTTCTTTTGTGGTTTGCGGGCCATCAATACGCAATTACGAAAGTTATAAAAAACAATCGTAACTTTTGTCCGACGGGCTAGCCTGGCTAAGGGCTTCCAGTACTCTCAACAAGTATCTATCTAAAAAATATCCGTCTCGACGTGGAACTGCCGATAAAAACATTTTACATTGTTCTGGCAACGGAAGGTTCAATTATTTCAATTCGCATTCAACTGACGTGCTTATAGAATTTATTTCGTGAAGCAAATTAGCTGTCAGAACTTTGTCAGAGTGCTGGAGCTAACCTATAGGCATAGGTAATAGGAGGAGTAAATTCAAAGGTAATGAAGTGAAAACACGAAAATATTCTCAATTTCTTCGCATTCTTCTGTAGGAAAGTTCCTTGTTTTACACCATCTACGTTCCGGAGAGGTGCTGACACCTCACGATGCTTTACAAGCTTCTTGGTCTGTCTCCATGAGCTTCCATCGTCAGTCGAAAGATTTTTGAATTTATTGTCGTAGGTCGTTCTTTAAAAATTCCGATTCTGTCGTTTAAGTTCATTGTTAAGTCTATTGAAAGTCCGTTTGTCTGATGGAAATCGACCAGTCTGCCACATTTTACACGCTGTTCTCTTTTTCCTGGTCAGGTCTCTAATGAACTGCGGATAGATTGGAAGAGACGTATTTCTGCTGCGCCTTGCTACAGATGGTACAGCCTGCTGTAAGCTGATTGTGAACTTTTCAACGGATTTTTCGAGTTCACCTTCGGTCTTAAGAGACATTGGGACTATGACCAAAGGTCCCAGGTACGTTAGTACTCTACTTTACATTAAGATCTATAGATGCCACCAGTTAAGAACCACATACGAACACACTTAAAAAGATTTCATAATAACTTCCACTTTACACGGACGTATCAACTTACAATTATGCAAGGTAGGAGGCTCAAAATAAGGTGAATGAGAGATCATCTCCACTTACTATAAATATTTAAATCAAGATAGGAAGAGACGCCGCGGGGCACTCGTCTCTCTCACGCCTTCCAACGTCTTACTCCATATTCTTCTTCCCGACAGCGCACTCGCTGATGGTTGATGTTTCAACCCACACCTGTCACGTGAATTATTTTATTGAAAAATAAAGTTTAAAGAAATGTTCAGAAATAAATAATTGCACAATAACTGCATTGAAACCAATAGCAATGAAAGAATACTAGCTTCATTTACAGTTTTTTTTTCATATTATATATCTTAACATAATGACCGGTGTCAACAACAACTACGTATTACAATTCTGCAACTTATTTTTCCTTTTACTAGAAATTTGATAAAGTAAAATAATACATGTAAATAAAAACACGAGAGTTGGGAAATCCAGTATACATAGGAAATCCAAGATAGATAGATTTCAGATTGAAGGCAGAAATCCGATAGTTAATATCACAGTATTACGCCATTTGGACGAAGCAGCTTATTACCACAAAGTAACCTTCAATCATACGTTACAGTTACAATACAGTAATTGGCCAATGCTGCCATATTAACCTAAGTGTTACTCTTCACCATTTGCGGTAGGTCAGTTTGAGCGAATCAATAACAGAATGATCATGCTTCGAAAAGAAAAGACATCTTGGAAGTAAGGAATTGCGTTTACAACGATAGATGACGTGCTAAGCTACAATGTAGAAGGCTTAACGCTTTGACGACGGCGCCTTACAAAGACGCACTCGAAATGTGTCGAACAATAAAGGCTCAATTCCCACACGAATTTCATTCAATTGGCTTCAATAGGGGTAGGTGCCAATTGAGAACGTTTCACTTTTCTATGCCTCTCTTTCTTCACGGTTCAAAGAGATTCTCCTTAGGGCAATTCTCTAAAATTAAGCATTTTAATATTCACCTATTTTCATTTCAAATTATCAATGAAAAAACTAAGAAAGTGGAACAAAATAATATTTTTCATATTAATTTTTTTCCCCTCAAGATTATTATTAAAAATTCATTTATTCTAATCATAAATTAATTCAGATGGTTTTAAATATGATGAAATGAATTAAACATGATGAAACTAAATATCAAATACAAATTTAAATAAGTAATGTCATAAATAAATTTACATTAAAATAAAAAAAATAGTCTTCCAACATAACATGTTTCTTTTTTTGTTTATTACTGTTTAAATATACTTAACATTATAATATATCTTTAGGTAGGGGAACAGTCTAAAATACTCATTTGTCTCATCTACAGATTCACTAACAAAATAATTGTTTTAATTTTTGAATAAATTTTAATAATAATTAAATGTATATATAGGTAAGTAAAAGTAATGTATAAATACACATCAGGACCCTTTACCAACGATTTCATACTAATTTATATACCAACCTTCAC